TCTGCTACTCAGTACGTTGACGGTTTGAAAGCAGCGTTGATTGTCCAAGATCCAGCCGATCCTTGGATATCTAAATATGATTCGGAATTCGTTCTGCAAGTTTGTGACTGGTTTCATGAACCTGGAGAAAGTCTTGCACATACAGTTTATGCCAATGATTTGCATACAGGTGATCCTGTACCAGATTCAGCGTTGTTTAATAACCATGGACCCGGAAACTGTAACTTGCAGGGAGCTCAAGGGAATCCGGACGGATTTTCTTGCACTTTTACAAGAATTCCAATTACTTCAGGGAAACGACTACGAATAAGAATAATAAACACATCGGCACAGTCCGTATTTATATTTGTTTGTCACGATCACACCCTTCAAATCATTGAAACAGATGGAGTCACGTTGGACGGGACAAAAACGCAAAGTTCTGTAAGGCTCAATGCTGCCCAACGCTATTCAGTTATTATACAAGGAAAAACTAATCCAACTCAAAACTATTGGTGTAGCGCCACAATGGTTAAGGCTGCCAATATTTTATTCGCAGCATATCCAAATCCGACCGTCTATGGTGTTTTGGCCTATTCGAATCTCCCAAAAACTACATATCCGCCTGCTGCACAAATAGCAAATCCGCAAGACACTCAAATTATCCTTACATCAACCGTTCAGAGCAATAATTTTATCGATGAACAGGATTTACATCCTTATGACAAAAACGATAAACCTCCGGCAAAGGCGACTATAACAGCGGTTTTGAACATTACGTTTCTTCCGGTTTCAGCCACTTCTGCTCAGGCAGCATTCCAGGGTAAAGGTGCTCCAGGGTTCTACAAACATTTGGCCACTTCAACTTTATTTTCCTACGCACAACACAATAAAGCACTTCCAAAGTACTCCAATAATATCTACGTCAAGAAGGGTGACGTTGTCGATATAGTTTTCAACTGCTTACGAGGCCAGCATCCGCTTCACATACATGGTCATACTTTCTGGGTTATTTCAAATCAAAAACAATTCGCGGGCAATTACAAAGCATCAACTGCGTTTAACGTGAAAAATCCCGTTCGTCGAGACACATTTACTGTACAGTCAGAGAGTAATGCAGTCATACGGTTTGTCGCAGATAATCCTGGTGTATGGATTTTCCATTGTCACATCGATTGGCATTTAGCTGGTGGAATGGCCTTCACAATCGCCTATGACAACAAGGATATTCAAGCGCTATATCCCTTAAGAGTCACCAAGAAAAAGAACAAAAAAGGCAAGAAGGCAACCAAAGTAGTAGAACCACTGACAAAATGTCCTACTTAACAGACATATTCGCAGAACTAAATTCGACATTCACATAAAGATTAGATAAGCAAACAATACCACTATTTCTAGTAGACAATAATTTTTATTTGTTCGTTCTTCCATTGTTTCTCGAAAATTCTTATTGTACCTCTGCCTGTTTTTCGGAATAAAAGTAGAAATCATATAACGTAAAATGGATACGTATAGGCATCACATTCCCCTCATCTTCTAGTACAAAAGACAAACATTAGAACTAAATGAAACGCGATAACCTCCTATCCGGTAGAACATTTCTATAACACTATTGTCTTTCTAACACATTCATCGAATGTACACCGAAACAAAAATAAAAGGCAGAGCATGCACAGCGAAATGGGGAGAAATAAGCGGCTGATTAACACTGCCATTTCTGTTAGTCCCTCGACAAGAGGTATAAATAGAGCCGAGATGAAGTGATCGCTTTGAAATTCCACGTTTCTGCCGCCTTTCTCTTTAGCTTTTTTAGGGATCAACAAAATCAGCCCGGATCCACACTAGGATCTCCCTGGAAGATGCCGCCCCAGTCACACAAGAACAGTGAAACGGGAAGAAATAAACGCCGGATCCTAGAGAGCACCTCTGATTCCAGCCGACGGTTACGACATACAAAGCAAGTGGGATAGATTGAACGCTTCCCTTATTTAAGGCAGAAACAACGCTGTACGCTGCAATCTCAGTGGTCTTCTAGTCAGTCACTCGACAGATCGTATAAGTGAAGTCACCAAGGATTCCGAAACACAGTCAGGAATCCACCAAGACAACACGAGTCGCCAAGAGCCACAAGATGTTTAATGAGAGTTATCGTTTTGTAGCAAAATTCACCAAGGCATAGACACAAGCCATCTAAGAAAGCTTTGTTAGAAAAGACGCGTAATTTGGTGCCTGAACGCTTCTGAGATCATAGGAAAACCGAGCACCGAATGC